AAGACAAAGCCGCAAGAAGAGCAGGCAGAAGACAAATCCAGGTGATGTCAAAGGACGCATAACTCCAGACTGGAGCTGAAGACGACTGCAAGTTCGTCATGCACCTACAATTCCACATGAGTTGACATGTAGACTTTACACCTTCTGCCTGAAACTAGCCTTTAACCCAAATCTCGGATCCCAGTCAACTCTTAGTATCAGAATAGTTTTACACAGACTGAACGCCATCGGAGGCCTCCGGCATATGCTAGCTTCCTCGCTGCTGGCACGGCGGCCACGGTGGAGGTGTCCACTGCGTTTCGGGGTAGACGGATTTTACCAGGGTTTTGACGGTTGGATTTAGGGTACAAGGGTTTGGGGTTGGGGGTTTTCGGTACAGGGATTTCGCCCCAGGTTGAGGGCTCGGTTGTGATATGGGAGCATTGAACCTTTGGTCACGGAGATTCCCATTCTTGATGCGCACACCGTCCCACCAGGGTTCTCTGCCATGTTACGGAAAATGTTTGGATGGGAGTCTCTGGAGATGGTCCGGATGATGAGTCTTTGACATGGATTCGTGCCGGAGGCTCAAGTATCTCACTATCCTCGAAAGAAAGCCTTGCAGAGGCAGGAGCACTGGACAACTCACAATCGTTCCATGTCTCTGAGGATCCTCACAAATCATAGGGTGTGCAAATAGCTGCACCTCAAACATGGTTCGGAATTTGGCTAAGCAAATTTAATCTTGCAGGAGTGTATGTTGCTTTCAGATGCCCCATTTGTCCGGACTATGGTGAATCCTCGTTTCATTCCTCATCTGCTCAGCCTATGACCACCATAACCCGAGACGCCGCAGTCTTTGAGGTCACGCAGAAGTCTCCTGGTTGAGCTCTGAACTTGGCACAAATCAATCAGAAAGAATTCCCGAGTAACCATACTAAGTTTATTTATGTGATAATATTAATCAATAAACGTATCTAGGGTTATACTACACCACATACCTTGCACCCTGATTTTGGACGCCCGGCTACCCGACCTTCTGCCAGCTTTCGATTATGCAGCCGCTGGACGTGGTTAAGACCCGCATGCACCTTCAGGCGCGAAGGGACACACCGCTTTTCCATGTCTGGTGTGCCGGATCTTTACGAGCGACAGCCTAAACCCTAAACCCTAAACCCTAGTAGTGCCCGCGGCAGTTGGGAGGCTTGGGAGGAACTGTCAGTTGAGAGCTTGGGGCTGGCGCACAAAGTCTGCTTCCGAGGGCTTAAGGGTTTAGGTTTTAGGGTTTAGGGTCGAGGCACTAGTTTGGCAGTGAGATGTTTTGGGGAGGTGCACGTAGTAGAGGAAACGACACAACAAGAAAAGCTGAACTTCTCCATGGACCCGACACCAGAAAACCGATGCAAAGCCGCACATCATGTAAGATCACTGGAATTGCGCCAGAATGCTTTCCCTTTTCTTCGGGATAGATGCTTCAATTTATTGCGGTTCAAGACTTCGGGTCGTTGGGGTTTCAAGGTCCGGGATTTCAGATGTCAGTGCTTCGCGTCTTGAAGGCGCTGTGCGGTGTGTTGTTGTGTTGTGGGGCTCGCGCTTGGGTTTGTAGGTTTGGGATTTAGGGCACTTAGGGTTTCCCCGGCAGCAGAAATTTGAGAAGTTTCGGGATTTGTGCATGTTGAGTCGAAGACTCTGCAATACAGCTCCACCTTCAAATTCCCGAAACACGGAGCCCTAAAGCCCTGCAAACCTGAACACCCAAGAACAAAATCCAAGAAAGCACCGGGCCCTTCGAACCCCCCTAAACCCTAAACCCTAAACCCTAAACCCTAACCCTAAACCCAGGGTTGGACTCGGGCATTGAGATGCACGTCCAAACCATCGGGTCAATGGCCAGGATTACAGTTCGGTAGGTGGAGCTCTCGGATTCCAGAAACTGGTGCAGTTTCAGGTTTAGGTTTTAGGGTTTAGGGTTTCGGGTTTAGGAATTGGGAGAAGCCAGACACTATGTTTTCAAATCCGTGTAGGGCTTGCTCGCCCTGTGCAGGGGCAAGGCGTCAAGAGCGGCGACAATTTTCAGGCGGCTTGTCGAGCGATTACCCAAAGAAAACCCTAAACCCCAAACCAGAATATGGCGATTATGAGGAGCTGTACTCCGATATAAACACTGGAGTTTTTTTGGGGAGGTTCGGGAATTTGGGTTTACGCTGCTTTTGAGAGCTGCAGCTCCTTAGACTGTATATATATATATATATATATATAAGCCCGCGTGAATCCCGGAGCTAAACCCCTAAATCCCTAAACGCTAAACCCCTAAACACTCACGCGCCGAACGGACAAGCTAAGATGCAACAACAAACCCCTAAGCCCAGTGGGGGCTTCTGGGAGCTGAGGTTGTGTGTTTTGCTGGACCCCGCCGGGTCTTAAGGTCGTGGCCTTTCGGGGGGGCTCTTCAGCTTCCCAAAGCCCAAGGTCCTCCCGATCCCAAGCTTTGGGAGCCATGAACCTGAAGTTCTTAAATTCCTAAACCCTAAACCCTAAACCCTAAACCCTAAACCCTGTCAAAGGCTCAACGCTGAACGAGTGAATCTTGGTGTCTCTTTGGCTCTGCCGAGGGCACTTTGGCCGCTATACGGGGCATCTGTCGTGCCGAAGGCGAGGAAGGGCAAAATCGTGTTTGGGAAGAGGAGCCGTCTGTGAGAAGGAGGAGAGGTCGGGAGTTCGAGCTCTCGGCTAGAAGGGCATACGGTGTAGGTTTAGGATTTGAGAACCCGCTCAATACCATGTAAGGACTCCGGGAATGAGGTTTCAGAATTTCAGGGGCTCATTACGTTTTGGCCTCCGAAGCCGAGTCGCCATCTTCGAGGCTCGGACGTCTTCTGACCCTCGGGGCCGGCTCTGTTAGAGGACTCACTTTACAAGGTCATCTTCAACGTCCCGTAGTCAACGTTCCCCATAATGGGGGGGGGGAATTGGGACTACTGGGGTCTAGGATAGGAGTCGGTGCAGTAGTTTAGTATTTGGGAAGGTCTTGTAGATCACTATGTCGTACCTTCAAGAACCTTTTAGGGGCTTCAAACGACTTCAACTCCAAGCACCTGTTGAACTTGAACCCTGCATCTGAACGTACATATACAGCTTATACACCCTGGACCCTCCGACTCTGAAGCCTGAGCCGAAATCGCTATGGAGCCCTTGGAACTCGAAAGTCTTCGTTCCGCAGCTTCACCTCTGCAGTGTCAGACTCTGAAGCCTGAGCCCCCTGATCCCATCAGCCCTTAACCGCCTTAACCCTCTTTTGCCCCTCATCCCTGACTCTCTAGAAAACTGCTACGTACCTCAAGCTCCCAAAACCCCCGGCCCCCCCGAGACCGTGAAGGCCTGATGGGTCTTTGGCGGGGCTTCGTGCCCGGCCTCTGCGTGGCGGGGGCACCAAGAGCTATTGCGATGCAGAACGCACAGGGGTTCTGCCTGAGGGTTTATGGCTTATGGCCTCCTAAACCCTGAACCCTGAACCTGTGGCTTCCGATTTGGCAAGGTCTCCTGTGCGCTGCGGAGTAGGGAGTGGGGTTTGTGGTTACAGGCATCAGCGGTTTGCCACGATCCGCTCCTGCATGCTGCTCCAAACTCAGATCTTCAACCCTGCCAGCCCAGAAAAGCCAGTACCTGCCCAAACAAATACATTTTGGCCTTCATATCCAGGAAGCTCCGCCAAACAAAACAAACAAAAGCAGCTTTCGAGAACAGGTAGATCCTTAGTTTTGAAGCCCAGAAACCGCATACTCGCCGAGGTCATCCCGCGAAGAGGCTTCAAGTTTGCCCGGCGCTGAGGGCAGATGTTGGGAGTTTTGGAGTTGAGGGGCTCAGGGGATTGCGGTTTAGGGTTTAGGGTTTAGGGTTTAGGGTTTAGGGTTTAGGGTCGTAGCTAGATAGAATATATACCTATTTCTGCAGGGCCCTGAACCCTTGGCTAAAGCCCCAAGCGAAAACCACAAACTCAGAAGACTGTTCAACAAAGTCTGGGGCTTCTGCCTTGTCCTCTTGGTGCAGGGTTTATAGGACCTAGGGTGAAGTCTTGTGTGGCTTGGGGTTTACCTTTCCTCGCGCTTACGATTCAGGCTGGCCCGGTCTTCATCACAAGCCTATGGCGGCCATGGCTCCAGTAAGTTCAATGAACCCGAAGAGCCTTCCAAGCCCATGATCAGCCCTTCTGAAAAGCCCACCGCTGGTGGGGCCCCAACAAGTTCTAAAATTGGATCTGCACTGTACTAGGTCTCCACCCCAAAAAAAGCGGGGCTAAAGAGACGGGGGCTGTCGTAGCAGCCGTCTCTGATGACTGGAAGCCTGAGGTCTTCTACGACGCCTTCATCTCCTGCCTGTGGAAGGGGGAGAAGTCGAAGGCGCAGAAGTCCATACTTTGCACCCAAAATCTCCGGGTTTCCGACTTCAGGATACGGGGTTTTGGGTTTTCTGGTGTGATAACAGGCCTCGAACTCCCAACCCCCCAAATTCCCAAGACACAGAGGCAAGGAAGGTGTTTCCTTGCAATGCCGTGGCGAGCCTTCAACACTACAGTCTCAAGGTTCTCTGAACTTCAGTAAATCAACCGACCTGTTTCATTCCGAAAGCCCTCGCCCCTTACAACCTGGCCCTTGACCTCTTGAACCCTTCAACTCTCCGCGATTAATGCCTGAGCCCAAGACAGTCTCGAGGCGCCATTTTTCCATAGTCTGGCGGCTGGGGGCATGGCCGGCGCGGCCGAGGCCGAAAATTCAGCGCCAAGCTCCCTCGACCCTCAAACGTGGTGTTGTTTTCGTGATTCGGTCCTAGAATACTCAGACACATTAAAGGAAGCAAGCGTAGACTGAATCTCAAGGTCAGGCATCGTCCATTTAGGAGCCAAGCGGCTTGATGTGTAATTTAGGGGCCTTCATAATTTCCTATATTATTATTATTATTATTTTTTTTTTTTGGGGGGGGGGCTCCTTATTATAAGTATACCATTCTAATTATAAGGCCCCTACATCATAGGGGCCGTGGGGTTCCTGGGAGCTGCAGGAGATCGAAGTTCTGGAGTATGGCGGCTTCAGGGTTTTATGACCTGTGTGTTTTAGTTTGGGATGTTATACGCTTCAGGGTTTTGTTTAGTTTCGGATTTTATGCGGCTCAGGGTTTCTAGTTTCGGAATTTATACGGCTCAGGGTTTTTGGCTTCGGATTTTATACGGTTCAGTGGTTTCCACTGCCGGCTTTTGTCTTACTTCCGGCTTTTTGACATGGTCGCGGCAAAAGCAGCTCGAGGTTTACCGGTCAGGTTCTGTTTCAAATTTAGGGGGAAAGTACTGCTTTGTTTCTGAAGGCTTTCGGATGGGAGGTGCATGGATGGCATCTACGATGCGGTGTCTCCTAAAACCCTAAACCCCATACGACAGCTTGTGGCACAGATCCATGCCTAAACCCTAAACCCTATAAACCTTAAATGTTGGAGGATTGGGATTTTGGAGGAGGTTGGAGGGCAACTGCTACGGCTTCTGAGAGCTGACTGAGCCCCAGTCACACGGGCAGCACGCAAGACCGCTGATTGGTGTAATATAGAGGCCTGAATAAGTAATACTCTTTGGGGATTCCTGACTCTATTATAATTATGGTATAATGTACCCCCCCAAACCCTACTCTAACTATTTAGGCCCCTATAGTATGCTCAGCCCCATCTTCAATCATCCAGCAAGAATTGCGACCAAGCCCATACCATGCAATGCAGCCGAATGCCTCCATCAGGCCTGCATCATCACCCCTCTCGAGTGCATCAAGATCGGCATGCAAAGCGAGAAGGCGGTTCGTTCGTTGACTTCGGAGCTTCCCAGGCTTGGGCCTTAGGGTTTAGCGGGGTTTAGGGTTTAGGGTAAAGGGTTTAGGGTTTATAGGGTTTAGGGTTTATAGGTCTGTCCTGTGGATGTGTGGTGTCAGCATTTTCTCTACAGCAGCTCTAGGCTCCAAGGTTTCGAAGCCCGATACACCTGGACTCTAGAAATAGCAACTTTCAAGTCTTCGATACAGCCGAAACACTCCGCACCCCCCAAAACCGCAAAGCCCAAAAACACTTCTGAAAGACTCCGACACCTACAAGCCCCAAAACCCAGAAGCCACAAAGCCCAAATTTTCGCAGCCCCGAAACCCTAAAAACCGAAAGCCCTTATAAAAGCACGCAGCCCCCCAAGCCCTAAAGCCTAAAGCCCTTATAAAAACGAGGGTTAAAGTCGATGCCAGGCAGCTGGCAAGGCGGCCACGGGAACACTGGCCTTTGCACAGGCGAGGTCGTTGAATTTCATGGCCTTCAGGACGTTCTGTCGATGTCCTTAACATGTCGGGCCTTCACACGAGACGCCAAACATAAGCATCCCTGCCTAAGACCTGAACTGTCGAATTTTTTCTCCCCGCCCAACACCTCAAAAGCCTTCCATGCCTTCTCCTCAGCTCCAGTTACCTACTGTTGTAAAGCTGCTGTAAAAGCAGTTTCGGCGAGGCCATGGTCCGAACCGGTGGTATCCAATCCCTGCAGCTTGCTCCGATGTTGCGACAGTGTGAGAGATTTTTTCAGCCGCTTGAAGGATGATCCGGAAAAAAAGGGTTCAGCCGTAGGGGTTTGGGGGTTTTAATGCCGTTTGTACAAAAAGAAAAGTACAACATGGACGTGGGGAGGGACCAGGCTTTATCTTGTGGGGACCCGGGGATGTCGGGTCCTGTCTTCAGGAGGATGCCTGTTATGGGAGGTGTCACGTCGTCTCATTTGAGACGGGTCATCAGGTTGAGAACCGGATGTAGGCCCTATAAGCTTTGGAGCCGAACCCAGAAAACCTGAAAGCCTGACCTAGCGCTGCATGATTTTGGGCTTCACCGTGGGGGATTTAGGGGGGTGGTGTAGGATTTGAGGTCTAAAGTTTCGGGCTTGGGTTACCTATTTGGGTTGCATTGGGAATGTGCTGCCAGCAAGGCCGCTGCCAGTGTTAGTGCCGAAAGGCCCAAACTCTGAACACTGAGCCTGGGACCCTAAGCCCGAAACCCTGAACTTTACCACAAGCCAAAGCCTTGCAGCCTCAACCAACATGGGAGTTTCCGAAAATAGGGGACCCCAACATAATACCCTAAATAGTAGGATCCTTATACTATCAGGACCCCCAAATAAGGTACCCCCCTGTTTTCATCGGACACTCCCACATGATTGAAATCTCAGGTATGCTGGCCTGGGAGCGACCGTGGCAAAGCACACCGCGCACTCCTGTCAGGGACACGGCTCTCAGAGGTTAGTTTCCGATAGGATCGAACTGTGACCTGAGATTTAGTATAAGCTGCTGAAGGCATAACTTAGCGCCTTGGGCTTTGAAGCATAGATGCCGCGACTTTCCTGTTCTTCGTAACAACAGGTTCGAGACATGTGGGTGGTTGTCGAAATTAGGGTCCCTTTTTGGGTCCTTAATATAATACGGCACCTATTATTTAAGGTACCCCAAAAGGGGCCATAATTTTGACAACCACCCATGTGTACATCCTTTTCTCAGCAGTGGACGGACGAAGACGAAGTATAAGCGCGGGTGGTTAAAACTTAGAAGACTTCATCGGGAGCACCCGTCGAGTTCTGGGGTGCAAGTCCCATTTTGGTGCACAGGAAGTTTAAATGTAGAACTCTGGAATAATTGCATGAGTTGAATGCAGCACTCTACAATACAATCCATGCTGGTTTTGCTACCGAATCAGAATCTGTCTGTTAATCTGCACCAAATGCCTACAGAGGACTCTAGAAACCATGTGCTAGAGTGCTAGAGTCAGATGCAACCGAGGTTTCTATTTTGCGGCCTTCCATGAGACGAAGAAATTTTCCCCCGAGGCCATGGGCGAGCAGCGGGACTGAAAAGGAATCAATCAGTTGGTTTGCTAAATATTCAAGATTTTTTCTATCTAATCCCATTTTTCTCCGCCTCCCGAGAAAACAACTGACTAGATTAGCGTTTCGGCGACCTCTGCACGTTTCTGGTCAGTTTGTCATGCAGGATGAGAGTAGGCTCTGCGCTCCACGAAAAGCGAATAGGACACCTCACCGCTGTCTTGAGTGGGATGTGATGTGGCAAGAAACACCATAGGACCCGTGCAAACTGACTTAAATTACACCGGCTTCTTTGCTGTGGGATGTGTGGCAAGGGCAAAGACCGGCTACAGCGAATAGCATGGGAATCTTGGCGGCAAGGAGGGTTTAGGGACTTGTGTTTTCCATTGTGGCGTTCCAATGCCCAAGCTTCTCAGCACGTGCAAGTCGACATGCGACTTGGAAGTCAGATAGCAGTTGAGAAAGCGCCACAGCATGCGCTGCGAGGGGGTCTTGTTTATGTACGAGACCCTCGCCTATGAAAGTGCTGTGCTGAACACTAAGTCACTGAGGATTTGCTGTCTGGCTTCGTCGCTGGCTGCTGGGGTCTCAGTACAACCTCCAACCCATGGGTGCTGAACTGACCATGGATGCAGAAAGAGACGAGTCGTCATCGAACATAGACATAGACTGCCCCGCTTCACAAAAATATGCGTGATGCTGGAACTAGAGTGACGAAGTGCGATTCCTACTGGAGACACTGAGTGTCTTTCAGAGCTGAACAAGTTTGTGACTATAGCTTTGAGCTTCGGGCTGTATCGGAGCTTCTAGTCCGTCACCAGTCAGTTCTCCTAAACGCGCGACCCTGACCCTAGGCCTAGATTTAAGGTAAACTCTGGGCCTAAACCCTATAAATCCTAGACCGGACTCCCACCCTGAATCTGAATTACAGCCTATGAATCCTAAAACCTCCAAAGATGCAATAAGCTTTCATTCTCATCGCTTCTTCCGACAGAGAGTCCCTCCTGGCCCGAGGCGCCGCGGCCACCGCGAACAATCCTTTCGATGTAATCAAAACTCGCCAGCAGGCCGGAAATTGACATCCGGATTTTGGCCGGTTTCGTATTTGTGAATGTGAAAAGCGTATCAGGGTTTACGAGAGTGTCATGTGATAGCGTTCGTATAGGGTTTTGCAGAAGGTCATGCGGGTTCACAGTGGCAGGTCGTGGCGGCTAGCGCTTTATCCAGCCATGCTGCTGGAAAGGAGCCACCTCGGGGCAATGGGGTACCAAACCATTGTTGGGTGGCTATGGGGCTTGAGCTTGGGCTGTGATTCTTGCGAGCTAAGGCATAGTGCAAGTGTTTGGATGCAGGTTTGGGGTCACCGACACCTCTTGATGTATAGTTTCTTCAGCCCCGAACTTCAAGGTCAAACGCAACTCACACGGGAGCCTCAATATGAGTAGTTGTCTGACTTAGGGTGCCTGTTAGGGTCCTTTTACAGGGCTGCCGTACCATATTTGGGACCTAAGGAGGGACCCTAATTTAGAGAATTACCCATATGTTGTCATCCGTATCTCATCGACTGACACATTGCACCCCTCTAAAACATTTTTGAATCACCGGCAGCAGCTCCTTCAGAACTGGACCAACTATTAGGTTGGAGTCTATCTGAAAACCCAACAAGACTTCTATCCTTAAACCCAAACACTAAGCTTATTATAGGGGCCTAAATAACTACGTATATTATTCTTATTGTAATTGTAGTAAAATGGACCCCAAAACACTAGTCGAATTATTAAGGCCCTCAAACCCTAAACGCTTTTAGTATATAGCCCGCATAGAACCCTTTAAGCAACCCTTTACAGGAACCCCAAAACCCTATTCTAATTGTTAAGGCCCCTACATTCCGAATCTCCAGGAGTTTGCGGCTGGTCCCACCTCCCTGCCGGCCGTCCTCACGGATCTGGTCCGTCGGGACGGGTGCGGCGCTGAGGTCGTGAGCACCAGAGGGATTTTAGAAGTCCTAAGCCCGGACAGGTGTTCACATAGGGCTTCGGGGTTTGGGGTATAAGGTTTGGGACTTTAGGGTTTTGGAGTTTAAGCTTCAGGATTTAGGGTTTTGGGGTCCTGAATTCCTGACCCAAAGAGCCTTCAAAGCCTACCTACACCCCCAGCCCCTGCTCCTCGAGCCTCGGGTCCGTGACACCGGGTCTTCTGAGGCTCTTGGGCTTCTACAAAGGCTACATTGCCAAGGCGGAGAGGGTTTCTAAGTCGTCTTTGGAGTGCCGGGTTGAGGGGTTGCAGCAATTTCCGGGTGGCAAAAGAAAGTTCCCTTTGGGACTGCCGGGCTGTGAGGGTTGGTGCAGAGAAGTTGAAGCCATAGTGATTGTTGGGCAATGGCAGGAGCATTTCAGGGTGTCCGCATGTAGGCGACTTCCCCCTGGCTCAGCAACCCCCCAATCCACCCAAGCTTCACCTGATACTGCTGGTTTTCGTGCCGCTTGTAACCGACAAAAAGCTACAGAACGACAGAGACTCCGAAGCCTTCAGCGCGATGGTTTAATATAGGGGCCTTAATAATTACCTAGACTATGTTGGGGTTCGTTGTGTGTAATAACAGCAAAATATACCCCAAAACCCTATTCTGATTATCAAGGCCCCTACATTATGGACCCCGCCCCACACATTGTAGCCAATGAACTACCCACTCCGTCCCCGAAAGATCAAATCTCAGCAGGATCCTGACCCCGGAGATAACCCTCAACCCTAAACCCTACGCACCAAATCCCTACACTTGGATTTTTGATTATTGGAGAGAAAACCCTAAGCCCTCAAGCCCTAAACCGGAAGCCTACCGCCCAAGCCCTTGCTTGGCAAACCCCAAACCCTAAACCCCAAACCCTAAACCCTAAACCCTAAACCCTAAACCCCGGGGCTGAAAGGTGGCACGCCTGGGCCCTGGGTCCGCGCTGATCTTCTGCGTCTACGAGCAGGTGGAAAAGGGCTCGACTCAAAGCCTAGGTTTGGGAATACCAGAAGCCCTTGAAGTCTGAACAGCCTCACCATTCATTCCGTCTCTCACTGTCTGATGGTGTCACTGGTGACCCTAATTACCCCAAACCCTAAACCCTAAACCCTAAACCCCAAAACCCGTCGACGCGATTTGTTTTGCAGGTCATGAGCCTCTTCTGAGAAGTTGCTGGGCACCAGCCTGCTCGCCAGAGCAAGAGGAAAAACTAGGGTTTAGGGTTTAGGGTTTAGGGTTTAGGGTTTAGGGGCGAGTGTTTCATGAATGTGGGTGCAGGCTTCAAGGAAGGGGTGAACATACACTCCTAATTAGGACTTGCTCTTGATTGTGTGTTGTTTTGGTCTCCTTTATGGAGTATTAGCTAGAACCGGACACTAGCAGGTTGTCTCCCATCACTAAGCAGAGTTGAGACAGGGTCCCCATCCTACCTGGAGCTGCCGCTAGTGCGCAGCACAGGCTAGTACCAGCGGACCCCGTGTTTGCGAATCTGTCCATCTGCAAGCTCTCCCTTTGAGATCTCGGAAGACGTAAATATGTTGACTGCCCAAGGCCACCCCAAGCACCTAGAAATTTCCGAGACCGCAAATCCTTCCAAGCAACGAAATGTACTTGGGCACCCGTGTCGGTGCTTCATGAGTTGCAGCAGTAACCACAGCGCAAGCGAGACTTATTGACTTGGGGTATATGTTTAATTTATAGCCTTAGGACTTAGCGGTACAAAGCTTCGGGGTAAGACTCGTCAAGAGGCAACAGGATGTTGGGCTTCTCGAGCATGAATAGAGATGGGCTGTACCTCGGAAGGACCCCGTTTTGCCTTCGTATCAAGAGGGAGCCAGGAAAGAGCAAAGCTCTCGTGGGTGAGTTCCTTAAACCCTAAACCCCAATTTTGTTGGGCCTTTCTGTTGGACTCAAGGCCCTGTTAGCCTTGCATAGACTTTCAGGAGCATCGATAGGATGTCCGTGCCGCAGCCCCCCGCAGCTTTCTACTCCATCCGTTTGTTCAGCTCTGTCGAGCGGTAAATCGGGGTTTAAGATTTGCATTGTTTCCCAATCTTCAACACAGTTCCCCCGTCACAGGACTTTAAGTCCCAACCCTGAACCCCTAACTCAACTTCCAAAGACAAATCGGAATCCCCCCAACCCCCATGCGCTGACTGGTTTCACCGGCGCCATGGCTATGTCACGATGGCCAGCGAAGCAGATGATCCTCATACCATTGTGCCAGCAGCTTCCCGACCTCATTGAGTGTGTCTGTGTGTCTGTGTGTGTATCTCTGTGTGCGCACGGATATTTAGTATTCCCCGAGACCCTACTCTGATTGTCAAGGCCCCTATTACACTAGTTGGGCTCGAGGTTGTGGAATTCGGGATTCTGCTCCTTTGGGGTCAGAAGATCTTGGCTTGGATCCAGTTGCTTCTCTTTCGATGGAGGAGAAGGTGGGTTCAGTGGGTTCGGCCGAAGCTAAGTTTGAGATCTAGCACTTCGAGTCCAGCGAATCAAAGCAGTGTCTGAGCAAACCTTAGCTCACATTGATAGAGACGGTATGTTCCGAGAGCTGTGGGATTAGATTTAGGGATGCCGGATGGATTTGTGCAGGCCTTGCTGGTTGAATCAAACTAACTCAGTTTTCGACCACATAGTAAGTAGACCTGATCGCTTCTCCGAAGCCCTTTGCTGGTATGTATGCTGTAAAGTTTGTGAAGCCCCGTGCTGCAGGACTGTTGGGATGTCTTGCCGCGGGAGCATCTTGGAGAACATGATCACTGAGATTGGGACTTTGGGTTACGCGGTTCGGGCCATGGTCATTCTCTCAACATACACCAGGAAGCTGTATAATATGCTGTCGTTTCGCGGGCCTTGCACAGTTCTGGTGCTCTGTTGCACCATCACGGACTGTTCATGACCAAGGCTCACCGTAGAAGTTTGAGTTGTTGGAGGGAGCTCAAGTGGCTGCAAGGGTGTCGAACAAGGGGGCTGTTCTGCGCATACTTGGCTTTCCCTTCCTGACGTACGAGACTTTCATAAAACACGATGTAAATTCTAAACTGATATGGTCCTTTATACATGTTACATGGTGGACCCGTAAAAGGAACAAGGTTGACATAGTGTGTGCGCATATGTGGTTAAATCCCGGTATTTTCTGTTTTCACGAGCGGGCTTCGTGTGTGGGTGGCCGGCTCCAGAAGCAGGACAGTGACCCCAATGAAAACGACGGAAGTGTTCGCAGCCAGAACCACAGTGTTGTCCATAGCTTTTTCGTTAGGGGCTTTAGCTTGCCCTCTCAGCCAAGGTTTAAGCGGCTTTTGCTAGTCGATGCTCTGCTGGTGTGGCCAAGCCCAGCCACAAGGCGCTTGAGGGCTTTGTTCAAAGCCTGTGTTTAAAAACGTGGTACCATGACAGAAGGTAGCTTAAAGCACAGCTCTTGCATCCTCAAGAAGAACTTCATCCCGACCCCTCATGTAAACTCGACATACTTTACAGGGAACCCTGATTTGAATAGTAGATGCACTCACACCTTCTGAGCTTTCGATTGGAAAAACCATCCCCCTGAACCCTCAACCGCAAACAGCACCCAACGATGCCCGACCTCTCGAAGCACTAAACTCATGAACTCAAAACGCTAGACCTACTAAACCCAACCTGGAATCCAAACACTTCAGCCAAAAACTACAATGCGCCAAAGACGAAGCAAGTTCCGTTCAGAGCTTCTGACTTCTGGGCCGCACCTTTGTCATGTGTTCTTGTGACTCGCAGCTTTGAGTTCTTGGGTATGGCATTTAGGCACTTTCCAGCCTCTCTCCTGCTGTTACGACAGGAAGCCACACTGCACCGCGTCGCCAGCACGTTTTTCCCTCTCTCCAAGTCGCTCGAGCGGAAACCCTAAACCCTAAACTCTATACCCAAATTCAGGGTTCATGGGCCCGTGGCCGGAAGGAGGTTCGACTGCTTGGGCCCATGGGTTTAGGGTTTCGGGTTTTAGCATTCAGGGCTTAGGATTGAGGGTTTAGGGTTTTGGGGTTTAGGATTTGGCATTAAGGGTTTAGGGTTATCAGGTAGGGATTGTGGCCGGGGTTATAGCCTATCCTTCGCCATCCCCACCTGACCCAAATCCGTCAGCTTCCAGTGCTAAGAGGCTCCGAGTGCACTTGGCATTAAGCCATGCCATGATCTGTGTCTTTAGGGCTTAGGGCTTAGGGCTTAGGGTTTAGGGTTTAGGGTTTAGGGTCTCAACCGCTCTTTGACACCCAAGACCAAGACTATACTACATCCCTGCATTCATGCACTTCTCCACAGCTTTGTCTCGATTCTCAGTCCGCTGCGCGCTGCGGCAGTATTCGGATTTCGATGCTCTGAAAGTTCTTGGGGCTATGGGCTTGAAATGGCCCGTGAAGAGGCCCCACACACCCGACTCTTCGAGCCAGTTCGAGTTTTATGGGGTTTAGTGTTTAGTGTATAGGGCTTTAGGTTTAGGTTTAGGGTTTGTAGGGTTTAGGGCTTAGGGTTTAGGGTAGGGTTTAGAGTGTACTGTATGTAGCTTGCAGACTGTTAATACATGTTCGCCGCTTTGGGCAGCCTGGGCGACGGGAAACCTTTACGTCCGTGCCAGGACCAGAATGAGCTCCAGTGGCGAGAGTCAGATGCCACGATCCGGGATGTCGCAGGCATGTGCTGATTTGATAATTTAGGGTTAAGATCTCTAGCCAAGTGAACCCTAAACCCTCAATCCTGAACCCTAAACCCGCAATCCTAAAACCCTCAACCCTCAATCCTAAACCCTGTATCCTAAACCCTAAATCCCAAATCCTAAACCCAAATTGAACCCTAAACCGGCAATTCTTCAACTCGCCTTTGGAGTCCCTGTGCTTCAGGTGGTCTTCGAAGCTTAGGGCATGCAGGTAGGCATTTAGGGGTTTGTTTAGGGTTTAGGGTTAGAACAAGGAACCCCCAAAACCCTGTTCTAATTATTAAGGCCCCTGCATTCGACTCTAGATTGTGACCCCACAGCCCTAAACCTCGTAGGCACTAAATGGCACTAGACCCTTGACCTCGTCCGACAGACATCGATGTGGCCTTGGCGGTATCTGCAATCCGGTGGACGGATGTCATGGAGGACGAAGACTTGCTTTAGGGTCGATCAAGACAGGTTCACATGCTGTGTGCTTTTGGGGCATGAATCCATCTACTCTATTGGTCCCAAAGCCTGAACCCTAAACCCTAAACACCAAACCAGATGGAAAAGGAGCTCAACCAACGCCAAACCCAACACCTTGAACCCTCGACCTACAGTACACCTATTGAGCGCTGGTCTGAGAGTATAAGAAGTCGAAGTCCATCATAAGGTCTAGTTTCCGGGACGAAGATAAGAGCGTATGATCTATAGCAAGAGCTGTACCTCTTCCGGGGTGCCCGATTTCTCCTCTCCTGCAGCCTGGCAATTCGCAATGAAAGCCCAGAGTCAGACGGAAATGAAGGAGCTGATCCTTCGTGACTTGAGCCTTGTAGGCTGTAGGGTGTAGACCGACCTACCCGAAACCTGCCGCCCCAATAAACTCCTTTTTTTCTTGAAGCCGACAGCTTGGAAGGATCTTCTCATAGATGCTCCTGGAGCTGCGTCTCTGTCCCCTGGCTGACCCGCATGGACTGCGAAGCACTGCGCCGTCATGGCAGGAGTCATATAGGGGTAAGACGACCTAAGCCCAAGAGTTCAAGCCCAGGACTGAAAACCTCAAGCTTGGAGCCCTTTGCGTGTACCCAACAGTCCGGCTAAACCAGCAGAGTCGGTTTAAGGTTGCTCGAGCCGTGTTTCGCTAGGCTTGCAACTAATCACCTCCACCGTTTATGAAACACCCCCCCGAATTATAGAAACACATTGGGGCGAATCCTCCCGAAATCATCCCTGCCCCTTTAAACCTATTCTGAATGAGGGGCAGGGTTTCGAGGCTCCAAACACCCTTTCAAAGAGCAAGAGCAAGAGCAAAAACAAGAGCAAACGCAAAAGTAGGAGTTAGAGCAAGAGCAGGAGCAAGAGCAAAAGCCGGAGCATCAGCAAGAGCAGCAGCAAGAGCGGGAGTAAGGGCGAGAGCAGGAGCAAACGCGAGCCACAGCAAGAGCAGGAGCAGGCACAAGAGACGCAGCAGAAGCAGGAGCAAGAGCACGACCCCTCAAAAGTGGCAGTAGAGAGAAAAATACACCCTAATAACAAAAACACTTTCCGAACATTTATTGGAGTGAACGGGGGGTCCCTGTTTACAGTTAAGGGGAAGGGATCAAGAGCCCCTATACTCAGAATCTCTTACGACGAGGTGCATGTGGGCATTGCGCTATAACTAGGGACTCCAGCGCCAAGTGTTGAAAGGACTATTTCCTGAAGAGTGTATGTTCATAGCAACACGACACAGCTCCCAAACGCAAAGGCCTCTGAACCACAAGCCCGCTTAGGGTTTAGGGTTTAGGGCTCAGGGTTTAGGGTTTAGGACCCTAAAATTCTCGAGTTGTCCACCGCCACAGGTTTTCCGATCTTTGCAGTCGTACGCGCCAGGGACAGCAGGTCCAGCGGCTTTAACACGGATGGGGTTTAATGTAGGGGTCAGAATAACTGGTAAGAGTATTCCTGTCGTAGTCCTATGAATATCGCATAATCTTCCCAACAATAATACCCCTGTTTTAGGACTTATATAATATAGGGGCTGTTATAGTTACCTATACTATTTTGGGGGGCTCATTATTAAAATTTTATGGTATAATGTACCCCCAATGCCCTCTCCTGATTATTAAGGCCCCTACATTAGTTCCCCACCCTCCATGTGGGGTTGTTAGATTTTAAATTCAGCCATTACGCCTCGCGCTCTGAGACTACCTCCTGTAGTGCCCAACCCCACAGACTAGCGTGAGACTCCCTGGAGTGCCCCACACCCACAGACTACCGTGAGACTCCCTGGAGTGCCCAACCCCATAGACTACCGTGAGGGTGGGATGTTCAAAGTAAAATAGTTTAGTTGTAGGGGTTTATTGGTGGGAGCTTTGGGTTTACACGGTTTAGGGTAAGGTCTTGAAGTCGAAACGGAACTTGACAGGAGGTCGTCTTTAAGGGTTTAGGGGGTTAGGGTTTGCAGGGTTTATAGGGTTTATGATGTAATGTAGGGGTTACATCTAGACCCTAAACCCTAAAATCCATGGAGCGAAGCCAGGTCCCGGGTGTGGAAACCCTGGCAGACATGCATCCCAAGATTGCCGAGCTCATGCGTGATGGCAGTGCCCGACTCAGCCGGGGGGAGGGGCTAGGGTTTAGGATTTGAGGGTTCATGGTTTAAGGGTTCGATTAAAGGTTTAGGGTTTAGGGTTGGATTAAGGTCAGGGTTGATGGGTCAGGATCTGGCTGCGTAGATGTATATACAGCGTGCACACATACACCCGTCGGCTTCGTTTGTACATGACATTCGCATGCCGTACTCTCTCAGAGTCTTTCTTCTGTCGTGGTGTCTGCAGACCAAGTTACAATCTCCTCTCGTTTCACAGAGTTACCTATGTGTGGAGTTTGATGGGCTAGAGCCAACACACTTCGCAAAATGAGCAACCCATCTAAACCCTAACTCCCATAGCCCAGATGCGCCAGTCTCTCTGTGTCTGTATATGGTCAGTTCTCTGAATTAGGGTCCCTTTTTAGATCCCCAATACAATACGGCACCCTTATAGGACCCTAAAAGGGACCCTAATTTAGAGAACTACCCATATGAATGGTCGAGGCCAAGCGCTTCTCTCCATGGCACCGCTGCGGACGGCCTACGCAAAGTTCACCTGCTTCTGAGATGCGTTTATTGAAGGAATCGAAGGCTTTGCGGTTTCATGTTTCGGGAATTCATGAAGCTTTATAAGCCTTTCGATGTAGCTCTAAGAACTGCAAAAAGCTTAATGAATACATCATAACATAATCTGATATGAAAGTAAAATACTCTGATATGAAATAGTATCATACAATATAATATGATATACTATATATTTGAATATTAAGGGTCCCAGGGTGTCTATTTTTTCAGGGCTCATTGTGTAGGGCCGTCACCGGGCTGAGTGAGGATCTTCGGTTCGAGGCTTCCGACGGCCAAGAGTTGCCAGTGAATGGTCGGGATACGGAGGGTTTAGGGTTTAGGGTTTAGGGTTTAGGGTTTAGGGTTTAGGGTTTAGGGTTTAGGCATAGGGGTAGTTGTCAAAACTATGGTCCCTTTTTGGGGTCCTTATTATAATACGGCACCTATTATCTAGGGTACCCCAAAAGGGACCCTAATTTTGACAGCCACCCATAGAGGGGCCTTTATAATTAGAATATAGGGTTTGGGGGGGGGCGGGGGGTATATTATACTACAATTGTCCCTAATCAGACTAATAGAGGGCCTGATTAAGTAGATTATAGGGTTTGGGGGGTATATTTTGCTATAATTATACTAAGAAACCCCCCAAAACCCTATTCTAAGTATTAAGGCCCCTGCAGTATCCATGGCAGCAATTCTAATTTTTGTGTATGGGTTAGGATAATAGACTACAGAAACAGGTAACCCCAGAAAGGAGCTGCAATGTACAGACCTGCGTTTTCACCGAGTCTTTTAACCTCCAAGACCAAAGTGACGACATTCCCAAGTCCCAAAACCCTAGTCAGACTAATCAGTCGGTTTAAGGTTTAGGGTTTAGGGTTTAGGGTTTAGGGTCGTCTTAGCCACGGAAACACTGAGACTTTATGCAAGTCTCTCGCAGACTAACGTGGGCCCTGACGGAGCGTGCATCCCGGTTCCCTGTACAGCCGAGGCGCGCTGTGCGGGCTTTGCAGCTCACGCTCTTCGGCTTTCTTGGTACTGCTTGATCTTAGCAATATGGGGGCCTTTATAATTACCTATACTATTTATGGGGGCCTGAATAATTACCTATACTCTACAGGGTGATAAGACAGATGCTGGTGGCAACTCCAGATGATCCATCTGATGAACCGTTGTTGCGGCTCCTGCACGACCTCAAGGTGCCGCAGGAAGCAATTGGTGAATTGGCGGCTCACCTCCAGAGACTGGACGTACTTGCGGCAGCGGGAGCTGATCATCATTTGAAGGCTCAGACCGCGGACCTCTTTAAGGGCACATGGTTCAGACTTGCCGAGGGGGGTCCCCTGGTCGCGACCCATCGAGGGACGCGGCCAGGGGACCCCCTCGCGGACCTCCTCTTTGCATTTACGTTCTCAGCTTATTTGAGGTCTTCGGAGGCAATGTTATATCAGCATGGCCTGCAGACAGCGCTACCGCCTTGCGCCACAACCAGTTCTTGGTTGAAAGATGCGGCAGTTCCCGGTCTAGGGTGTTTGGCTTGGGCTGATGACTATACGTACATGCAATCACATGCATGTCGGGGCACGCTCTATGATCAGGTTCGGCAGGCCACGGCCATTCTGCTGACCCAGGCCACGAGTCTGGGCATGGAACTCACCTTTGCCCCCGATAAGACGGCTTTACTATTGTCAGCTGACTGTCCTAGGCTGTACGGCGAGGGTCTTAGCACTAATGGGCAAGGTTGCTTTGGCTTGTGGGTGCATGATGCCATAACCCAACGGGACAGCTTTCTTCAGGTAGTAGATGGCTACCGACATCTGGGCAGCATCACGGTTTCCAATGCCACGGCAGGGCCAGAGATCCAGTACAGACATGCACAGGCCCACTCGGCGTTGAAGCCGTTGGTGGGCAAGCTCTTTTCTGCGCGTGAGATTCCCTTGCCCATCAGGCGAACCCTGCTTCGTTCTCTGATACTGTCCCGCTTTGTCTTTTCCTGTGCGACCCTTGTCTTACAGACAAAGCAGTATCGCCGCCGTTGGTGTCAGCTATATGTGCAATTGTGGCGAGGCTTGAGTCGTCGCAAGGGTACCGAAAAGCCCCTGCACAGCTATGAAGTTTTGCGACTCGCCAATGCGCCTTCCCCAGTGCTGGCCTTAGCTTATGCTCGAGCTGTTTTCCTCAAACGGATTGTGGAAGAGAAACAGCATGTGCTCTTGTACCTACTACATTTGCACTGGGCGGAATTTCCACATAAATCCTGGCTGGGACAAATGGCTAAAGACATACAGGCGGTCGCACAGTATGTTCCGTCTGTGCAAACAATGCAGGCCGCTCCCAATCCGGTGCAACAGCTTTGGGAGGCATACGAGGAGGACCCCGGGTGGTGGCAAAAGCAGGTCAAGCAAGCTTGTACAGCTTACCGGGCGGACCTGGAGACATGGTCCGGACAGGGTCAGGCTGTCTCGACCCAGCCTGAGGAAGACCACACTGAACCTATCGAGGTCAGGCTGCCGCATGCCTGCTCTTACTGCGGGGCGCGTTTCAGGTTCCGTAAACATTTAGGGACACACCAAGCCAGAGCCCACAAGGTTTTCAGTGTCACGCGACATTTTGTCCCGCAGCCATATTGCCTGGCCTGTCACAAGTATTATCATACTATCACCCGCACACAGTTTCATCTCAAGCGAGCGCCAGAGTGTTTGGCGCGTTTGGTCCACCTGATTCCTCCTATGACCTTGCCGGAGGTACTAGAGGCAGAGGCTTTGGACCGCAGGCAGAGACAGCAACTACGTCAAGGCCGATGGCGGGCGCACAGTGCAGCGCCGCCTGCCGTGCATATGCTTGGGCCTCGGCTTCCGACCTATACGGAAGCCCTAGGAGATCTGCAAGACGAGTCAGTCACGCTGGGGCGCATCCAGCGGCACTACAGACCCTCAGTCCCAGTCCTGAACTGGGTGCAAGAGTATCTAGCAGGAGCTTCGCGCGAGGGCAGTAGAGCTGACACTGTAGACTTCTGGCAACAAAGGCCAATTGCTGTTTCTCAGTCTCGCGTTTCACCAGTTTGTTGAGTTGCATGATTTTTGGGACGCGCTTCGAGTGAGCACTCTTGTCCAACCAGGAACAGGTATACTATTCTGGGGGGTTCCTTATAAAATGTAGAGAAAAAATACCCCAAAGCCCTATTCTAATGGTTAAGGCCCCTACATTAGGTGAGCCCCATCGTGCCCTCTACACAGATCCGTGGGAGCTTGTCTGTACATCTCGTCAGCCTGGTCGACTTCGATGCCTGCTTCTGACGGTTGGCCTTGCCTCTTTTTGCCGAGTCGGATTTGAACCATCTTACCAGAAGCAGCAGGTTGGTATATGGGGATATGGGGGGCCAGTGGAGACCCTCGCCGCCACATACCAACAACGAACTCGAGGGCTCGAGATTCTAAGGTTTCCTAAGCCTGCTTTCCGGACTCCAAAGGCTGAAACGTGATCACCAGAGCCTAATTCAAGGATCCTTCCTGATCCAACACAAAGCAACTCGACTCTTGATCTGGATTGTCCTACTCGGCCCGTTCTTCGAGGCATCTGAGTTTCTTCTTCCCCTCCCGAGCCCAGCAATCCCAAAAGCCCCCCTTGCAAGCTACATAACTCACCAGCCCTGTTATTCATAGGGTGTAGGGTTTAGGGCCCTAAANNGGGTTTGGGGTTTAGGATTTAGGGCCAAAAACCCGAAGCTTTGACCCGAAAAGCCCGAATTTCTGGGCTCCCAGAAGCGGACCAAGGGGCTCCAGAGGGATCCATTCTCCTAAGCACAAAAATATAGTGGCCTTAACTACTTACCTGTTTTTTTTTTTTTTTTT